TACAAATTCGTGTGCTCCGCCTTGCAACAGCCTTGCACGAAGGACCGGGATGTCTAATTTCATTGGCGACTTTTCGTGTATCGCATACGCTGCGGATTTCTGGTCTTGTAAATGGCCGCCAGCTCAGTCTGTGCTCAACGTGACGGCGGCAAAAGCTCCCGCTAATAATGTAGAGCTCTATAGTACGGTCTACGGAAAGTCTATTCTTTGCCGTAAGTAGAAAAAAACTCGTCGCGCAACGGTATGTCGAACAATGCAAATCGGGAATGGGTTCGCGTTTTAAGGCCGTTACAAGGAACATGACTATTTATTCCAAGCACTTTAAGAATACAGAATACCCGTACTTGCTTTCAGGTAATTACCAAGCAAATAAAGATATGCTCCAAGCATTTTAAGTTCATCTGTGTTAGCCAGCCGTTCGTGGCGAGAGCTTAGAACGTGAGTTTTGGCCAGAAGGACCGCAATGTTGCAAATAACACGGTACAAAAAAAAAAGTACGTTATATTAAAATATTTGTTCTTAATAGAGCAATAAATAAAATCTCTAAACACGCCGATTATATTAATAGGCCCACAGTTTTAGCATAGCATACAACACCCTAAACTTCAGTTGGACGTACAGCGCGCTGACGTTCAACCGGTGCTACCAACTTTCACGAGCGGCTCGATAGCCGAGTTGTACAACTTATTAAAATAGCTTAAGTAAGCGTAAATGGCTGAGAAAAAAAAAAAAAAGTGATCAGGGTTATCTTGGTTTTACTGCAAAACCTCTGTGGTTTTTTTTCTGTACTTTTTGATGCATACTTTAGCTGTTTAATATCTCATATTGCGCCGTCATCATGCCTCTCGTAAAAGTTGTGGCCGCCAGTTTGACGTCAGTGGGCTGCACGGCGAACTGAAGTTTTGGAATTTCGTATATGTGACAAGGAGTGTAAAGACTACAACATTTTTTTTTTTTTTTTTTTTTTTTTTTTTTTAGAGTGATGAGCATTGCAACGTTCCTGGCGCGCACTGAAAATTGTGCTTCAAAGGCGCAGCGCGAATTTGCGGTTGTAATGCTACACCGCACGGTAGCCTGTGGTAACAAACTTTCTATCAATAACCATAGAGCAGTTTGATTACGTGTTGCAATACACTAAAACCGAGACGGTGAGCAGCGAGTTGTGAGGCTGTGACGCGAAGACACCAATACTGTGAACGCTGCTTTTCCGAAGCTTGACGGTCACCGTTCGCGGCTCTCTTCTTAGAGCACTAATGGCCAGGCAAAGCGCAAACATATCATTACCCTCAAAAATATTCTGCCACAAACAGTAGCGTTGCCGGTGCTTAAAACGCGCTCGCTCACAACAAAACTTCGCAATTTGAGGTTTGTGCAACTTTTAAATATCAGCATGTTCGTTTTGCTAACGTGCATCAGCATCTCCGTCACCTGTAATATGATCCCCCCCTAATCGCTTCGCATTTGTAGACAAATGAATCATTTTTAGCGCGCTGAACAGCGCCAGCGAGCAGGCGCACGGGATATCCTGGATGTGGTATCTGGAGAATCAATCCCCGTCTCTTCCGCCATCTTGGAACTACCGCCCCGCCACTTACAGGGCGTTGGAGTTGCGGTGAGCAGACGACGCTCTACTTTGGTGTTTCAAATTCTTTTCGGGCTCTTTCAGCGATCCCCAATTCTTTTAAACGGTGTGAGGTCGAAAAGAACGTGCAGTGGAGTTTTGCGATCGACGTGAAGGACCACGTCGCGCCGGTAGTGCGTGAAAGGCCCCGGCGGAGGTATACAACCGAAACTACAGTTCACAAACACCAAACCCAGTTGTTGTTGTTGTTGTTTTATTTTATCGCTTGACGATTTTTTTTTTTTTTTTTAAGTTTGAGAAGTTGTCGGGCACCTAAAAAAGAGAACTTCGTCCTATTCCCCGACTCACCGATCATCCTGGGTGCATGTGCCGAGCGCCGCCATGTTTTCTGAGGGAGGATAAAAAGCCAGGCGACGATATCAGTCCGAACTCCGATTTTCCCTCTTTCAAAAAACTTTCAGCCTTTTCCACTCGGGTGAAGAAGGAAGACCAGCGAAGCTGTACTATGGTGGGAATGAAGTAATGACCGGCCGGAAGTCAAAAAGCCGGAGTGGAAAGACTGGGAAGGTTGCCGCGTTCTATGAGCGACGGCGGCAAGCAGACAACCGGAAAGCAAACCACTCTGGACAGCTACCGCCATCTATGAGTGACGGCGGCAACCAGAGTATTGTGTCGACATTTCTGTGCGGACGGACACGATCCTGGGGAAACTAAGGGGAAACCAGCCCTTAACAGCTCCGCTATAAAAGAAGGGCCGTAGTGCGTTCGCAATTGCGTTAAAAAAACATGTTTTACAAATGCCATTATTAAATATTATAGGCATGTCGCTTACAAAGCTTCCAAATTTCATAATAGTTTACGTCACAAATAAAGATAAGCGAGGAGGTAAGAAGGGGAAGAAAAAAAACGCCAAAAATAAAAACAGGCGCGCACCCGTAAGAAATTTTTTTTTTTTTTGCGTTGTGGTATTTTTTTGCGTTTAATGTGAGATGACAAGGGGAGACATCATTAGCAAGAATAGAAAATAGGAGGGGACCTAAAACAGAGCCCCGAGGCACGACCAAGATCATTTTGTACGTCGTGGAATTTATTTGGTTAACTCGAGTGAAACCTTCTCTGTCCACATACACCATATGAGAAAGCTTGGATATTAATATCCGAGCCAAGCTCTAGAAGGTCAAATGCCTTGCTTAACCCGAAATAAAGAACATCGACTTGATCTTGATTACATAAAATACGAGAGGTCGTTGAAGTAAAAGTGACCAGGTTTATGTTCGTCGACCTGCTAGAAACAAAGCCCTGTTGGTTTCGATGAAAATGATAAAGAGCTGCGAACGACCATTTCAAGAAGCTTTGAAAGCGGGCACGGGAGGAATGGGTCTATAATTTGTTGCATCCCCGCTTCTTCCTGACCTAGGAAATAGAACTATTACAAGTTTCCACGTTACTGAAAAAAAGAAAAAAAAAATACCCGTCTTAACTGACTATTAAATATTTCACGTAGCATTGGATAAATATTTCATGGTAGGTTTTGATCGTGGCTGATGGTATTTCGCCATGTCCAGTTCTTAATTTTTTCGATACACTCCAGAATAGCGTCCTCAACAATCGGGATCGAGTTCAGCGTATTGCCAGGCCCCGTGAGAGGAGTAACATTGCAGAAGGCATCTACGCTATCGCTGTAGACGGACTTGAAATAAACGGCAAAAATCTCAGACGTATTTTTTTTTTCTTTTTACATTTATCTAAAGTAATAATTTTTGGTCTGTTTACTTCTGCGGAAAGTGAATTTATACACTGCATAATTGTTTGTTTGTTTGTTTGTTTTCAAAATTACGGGTTAAATCCACTTCTACCGTTTCCGAATATACCTGGCGACCCCGATTTAAAATGTGCTTGTATCGTTTCCCCCAGCCTTTGAATTCAAACTCCCACTTTGGGAGGCCGCTTTTCTTGAACTCACGATGCAGAAAAAATGTTTTTTCTTTAAAAGTATTCTGAACTAGGAGAGAACCAATAACTAAATTTGGGCCTGCGATTTGTCTCCACCGGAATGGAGGTGTCATACCAACCTAAATTATGTTAGTGAATTCGACGAGCTGGTCATTGACATTGTGGAACCGCAAAATTGGTTGCCAGTAAACTTTTAAAAGAATATTTAAAAAAAATGTTTATTGTGTGTTCTTCAAGAACAGCCAGCCTTTTTGTTGAAACACGAGGAAAACACACAAACAAAGACCATAAACAAGAGAGTAAAATCAAGGCGTAAAAAGGCATAAAAAGTGACACGAAGACAACACAAAAGTGAAGACAAACATGAATGCAGATAAATACACATCCAATCAGTACACAGAAGTACATGCAGCCATTGACTCACTCCAGGGGCAACCGTAACAAACAAGATAGCAAAAAAAAAAGAGAGAGAATCAAGAACACCATTACCTGCGCCGCAATAACCTTAATGACGCGCGAAGACTTGAAATGATGTCGTTGAATATGTCTAATTTTTCGGCAAGGTCATTGTGTATCAGTTGCATGCATGCCGGTGACACGTCTCAACATATTTGCCGCAGGGAGGTAAAACGCGCTCCTAGACAGTGCTGTAGCGTTGCACATGCAACGACATAGATGATAAAATCTCAAGAGCATCAATGCTGCCGTGTACCTATTTAATAACCAATCAATCAATCAATTTCATTGGGTGTCCAGGAACAACCATTCGTTCTTGGTGCTGGCACACCGGACATAACTCAAACACTTAAAAACAAGGAGCACCCTCACATTACGAGACAAAACATGAGAACTATTACTAGGCAGAAACACACAAACATAAGAATTAGCGACAGAAAAAATTACAAGGTAAATATTTATATTGGAAGTTCATACATTGGTGCGCCGTGAAGATGATGTACGAGGGTGATTCAATAAATAATGTGATTTTTTTAATAACAACTTCTAATACACATAGAAGCTTACTTTTTTTTTATCCTTCTACGTATTCTCCCAGCACTGTCACACACATTTCCCATCTGTGCACAAGCTTCCGTATTCCCTCAGCGCAAAAATCTTTAGACTGATGTCTCAGCCAGTCGCTCAGAACACTTTTGACTTCATCGTCACTTTCAAACTTCGTGCCTCTTGTGAACGCTTTCAAGGGACCAAACAGGTGAAAGTCCGAAGGGGCAAGTTCTGGGCTATAAGGGGGATGAGGGAGCAGTTCCCAGCCCAGCTCGTTAATGGTCTGCACCGCTAGGGCTGTTGTGTGAGGCCTTGCGTTGTCATGATGCAAGATGACTCCTTTTGACTGATGACCTCTGCGTTTGTTCTTCATGTCTTTCTTGACCTGCCTCAGCAGTTCACAGTAGTTGGCACTGTTCACAGTGCTTCCGTTTTCAAGGAATGAAATGGTGAATGGGCCTTGCATATCCCAAAAAACGTTGAACATCACCTTCCTAGTGGACCGCTGGGACTTGAACTTCTTCACTGGAGAGCCTGCGTGCTTCCACTCCATGGACTGTCGTTTAGACTCAGGCTCAAAGTGCCAAACCCATGTCTCGTCAGATGTGGCTATCTTTTTCAGAAACTCAACACCATCCTTCTCATAGCGGGAAAGACACTGCTGGGACAACTTGACCCTCCTCTGTTTGTGCTCCGCAGTAAGCATCTTTGGCACCCACCTGCTGCTGACCTTCGAGTAGCCAAGGTCATCATGGACAATTTTGTGTGCTGTCCCCACAGATAAGCTCAAAGTCCTTGCTATGCCATCCTCTGTCACCCTTCTGTCAGACTGAATGAGGTCATTGACTGATTCGATCACCTCAGGAGATCTCACTTCTGTTGGCCTCCCATGCCTGTCTTCATCCTCAACACTGCTCCGTCCTTCTTTAAACAATTTAGCCCACTTGCAGACATTTTTTTGGCTGAAACATCTGGCACCATACACAGTTGACATTCTTCAATGAATTTCAACGGGTTTGCACCCTTCAGCAACCAAAAACTTGATAACTGACCGCTGTTCAATCCTGGAGCATGCTTCTTGGTCGGCCATCTTTGTTACTCGATAAAATTCTGTTGTTTTTTTTTTTGTTTTTTTTTAATCTGCGTAAGAAATTAAGTTTATGTGGAAAAGTAGTAAAACAATAAAAAATTACAAAAAGTAAGCTTCTATCTGTATTGGAAGTCCTTATACAAAAAAATGCACCTTATTTATTGAATTACCCCCGTATATACCGGGGAGAGTATATCACGCAGTGAGAAGACAAAAAAAATGTAAACTGACAGTTTTTTGCAAATATTATAGTATGGTGCACGTTAAGAAGGTAGGGCGAGGGAAAGGAAGGTGAAAGCGTTTGTTCATGTGCGCGTGCGCCCAGCCGCTCTTATCGCATCAGTGACTATAGCTGATCAACACCCTTACGCATTTGATTTTAATATCAACCACGCCACGTGGTCGCGTCCTTCAACGTGAGAATCCTCTACCCCGCACGTTTGTCGCCGATTAAGGGCGGTCGAAACCAGCCCGCAAAACGGTCGCGCGGGAACGTCCAAAGAACACACCGCGAAGCCAGACCGAAGAGCACACCGCGAGAACTTACCAAGAGACAAAAGATTCTAAGCGGCATCCCGCCTAAACTACTGTTCGACGTTAACGACAGCTGAAATTGCAGCCTATTCTGGCACTGACGTACATAGGACAGCTCCAGCAACCACGGCTTGGTATCGTATACCAACAGTCTCTAGGGGAGTGAACCTCAGTCTCATTGACCCGACAGCTTCTCTCTCCTAGCAAGCATGGCAGCGTTTGACGCCAGACGACAAGAACGCTACGCCTGGAGAGCCGTCATCCGGTTGATTGCTGCGTACCTTGGGATCAAGGGCGGTAGACGCGCTGACGCTCTTTCGGTGGAAGTTCATAGCGACGACTCCCCCGCAGCCTTCCTACGCAAGCTCATCGGTGTTGAACGCCTTACCAGAGGTATCGCCCAACTACGGTACCCAGGCTCCGTGTTTGCCGCAAGACGACCACCAGCACCAGTACCACACTACCCATTTAAGCGCGTGAAGGTGGCCCGAGTGATTACCGAAATATACCGACAGATGCCCCACCCCCGAAAGATAACCCGCCCAGAATTTTCGGCGCGATTCGCTAATTTTATTTTTAAAAAACACCCAAAAGATAGCCAACTTCTAGTCATTGCAGGGCCCTGGCCAATGATGACCTCGGCAGAAACGGTGTTACTTAGCCACGTCGGGAGATAAGCGGACATATCTGACTGGAAAGGACAGTAGTATTTGGTTCATCGCCGCTCATTGCAATTACAGGTTTCGCAGGTCACAAAATCTAAAACTAGCATTTTTTGTTTCAATTTACTTTTAATGCGCAGTTAAAGTTAGCTTACCCCTTATTTTTACCCGATTTGCTTTCGACTTTAGGTGGGTTATCTCTCGGGATGTTGCGGTACGTTCGAGCAGTGTATATCTATCGAAATTGAGCATGAAACGCTTCATCGTTGCGGTGTAGCACAACGTGCTCGAAATTTATTCGCCACGGAGCACGCACTTTCCTCCCTCAATCAAAGTGCTGCATTTAGCACTTTCCTGTGTTGAAGGTCGAAGAAGGGAAACAATATCTGGAGCAAACCAACTTAGCAGCCGTACACTGTCAATATCAGTTGCTTGCCTTCGCTGACTTGTCAGAATTGCGCCTCCTTCTGACATCTGCTCCGTCGACATCCTTTGAAACTGAACCCTGCGTCGCGTAGGGCACACACTACTACTGATAAGTGATAGCGTTAAAGGTTGCCAGACCGAATGTCAGACGCGAGAGCCAATGCTGAAGACGTCATTGAAGAGAGCTCGCGTTTCAAACCCAGAACGTGTTGCCTTTTTGTTACTTCATTTTTATGTTTCCTCGAACTTGGGTAAACATTTTCATGGAGAGTGACCCTATCTTAAAGACGCCGCTGTCGTTTAAATAACCGTTGGGAGTGCAACCTGAATACGACTCTGATATGCAGTATACTAGAACTAAATGTGTCAGGTACTGAGCAGGGTTATGAGGCTCGGGCGTGAACACGTAACCTTAAAAGAATTTAGTTTTTAGTCGCCGGCGCTCTTGAAAACATGGTTTCCGTTATTACCGGTCGCGAGGCGACACGAAATTTCTCGTCTGCAGCAGGTATACACTAGACACCTATTGGGGCTGACTAAATAACTACCTGCCACCTAAATAAACACGCAACAAAATTGCCGGCATATGATAGAGCTATATATTTCAGCGGAGCTCTTCAAAATGTGAATAAAGAGTCTGTGTGCCTATGGTATGCGCGTTTGAGCTGAAGGGGCTTCTATGGAAGCTGTGCCTCCTTATTCGATGGGCTAGTGATACCATGTATGTATAAAGTAGAGGTGTGCGAATAGTGAAATTTCAACTCGAATCGAAATTAAATCGAATTGTGCCGAATATTGGCCCAAAAATTCGAGTATCAAATAAAATAAAAATATCAACTTGTTTTTGGAATGTTTACAAGGTCATAAAAACACCGCAAAGATGAGAAACAAGCCATATCGTTTATTTCCCCGCAGGGTATGCAGAACGAAGAGGCTAGCATTAGCAAGAAAAGTGTTAATAGCCTTAATAGCTGTCGAATGTGCCCATCCATCCTCCAGCGGATACGCAGCTTGCTAGTTGAATGCATGGATATGGCTGAACCGGCGTTTGAATCAACCTCCTGGTCCTGACACCTCGCTCGACGTCTCGGGAGGTGCCGGGCAGCGTAGCCAATTTAATGCTTTTCCCGCTAAATTTTGCGGTCTTCGGCTTGAGAAATTACCGTTTTGCGGGTGGCTGAACTTTTAGCGATTTTCAGGTCATGTTAGCGTTCTTTCTGAAGGTCTAAACCAGGGTTCTCAAACCCCGGCCGGCGGGCCAAATCCGGCCTGCGGAGGTCTTCCGACCAGCCCGTGGCTGGCTGCAGTCTTCCCAATGGAGCCCGGCCCACGGCCCGCTTCCAGCACGCCCGCTGCTACTGGCGAAAACATAAGCGCGTGTAAAACGGCGCCGCGGTGGGCACCAACCGCGTAAACGAAGTTACCAGAAAAAAACGAGAGAAAACTGCCTACCGTAAGCCGTGTCCTCTGGTCAGGCGCGTAGCCAGGATTTTGTTTCGGGGGGGGGGGGGGGGAGGGGGGGGAAGGAGGTAGGGAGGAAAGGAATGGGGGGGGGGGGGGGGAGGCCCGCCCATGACAAAATGCTATATGAGGGAGAGGGGGGAGAGGAGGTCCCAGCAAACGGAAGATTTCGGGGGGAGGGGGGGGGGGGGGGGCCGGGCCCCATGGGCCTTCCCCCCCTGGCTACGTGCCTGCGTCTGGTCATGTTAGTAATTGGACATTGTCATTAGCAGAATCCACACGCCTAGTCCCCTGTTCCATATCTGGGTAACTAAGTACGTTAAAAGTAATTTACGTCCCTATGTATATTGTGCTTGGTGCACTGTGTCGTAGCTAATAAATATTGTCAGCATAACTTCTATCGTTCTCCCTAGTCTTCTGCACTGTGTGAACGTGCCAAAGTTCCTATGCGCTCTGGTTTATGCTGCTATGTTTTCTGGGCTCAAATTATTGTGTGATGTCATAAGCAGCTATTTCCGGCCCTCGAGACAAAGACAGAGCCTCCATCCGGCCCCTTAGCCAAAAATTTTGGACACCCCTGGTCTAAACTGACGCATGGTTTAAGGTCATGTGGTAATTGTTAAGGACATTGAGTCAAAATAACGCTTGATACGCCATTAAGAAATTACGCACGGAAACACAGAACATGCTTTGAACATATTTGTTTGTAAATCTGTGAATGCGCTTTCTAAGTGTCATAAACGGGCCCAGAAAGCATACGCACAAAAATTAAAAAAATAAGGGCTATAGGTTTATCAATTTCGAGACTGTAGAGAAGTTTAGGACATCATTCCGATACCTCCGATAACTATACCGGATAATGATACGATGCATGCGCAAAGGCATCGGCACTATCGGGTACCGTCATCGGAGTCATCGGAACGATCTACTTGAACTCCCTTGTATTGGATACTGTAAGTTCCAAGTAACGTCAAACGAGTCAGAACCCTCTACTGGAAAACAACTTTCTGTAGAGCGTGTGAATATGGTCGCTGAACCTTTGAACTGCCATCAAACGCTGCACAGTATATCCAAACGACGACGGTATGCGTTGACAGGTATGGAAACACACCTGGTAAGAGCAAGATGATGCAGTGGATATCGTTCTGTGCATAAAAGCTGTCTGAGTAAAAAAAGGACTAAGGTTTTTTTGTTTTTCTTTTTATTATAATTTATACATTAACTATGACAGTAAATTGTATTGTTATATCATTGCAGTCATTCTGAAATGTAGCTGGTTTTAGCGGGTTTTCCCTATTCCGATTGCCGGTATTTCATTTTAAAGTTCAGAACAATGGCGACGGTTTATAGGAAGTGGCCGATTCACTTATCGTTGTTATTTGTATTTTGATAATAACTTTTCATATTGTGGACGCAAAAAAAGTGAAAGCCGTTTACAACTCCCTGTAACGCCGAATTAGAGCGCAGCTCTTGAGGAGGAGGAGGGAAGGGTACTGGGGAGGTCACGTGAAGATGACAATGCCGATGATGTCATCAGTGACGATGACGATACCGATGACGTCATTAGTGACGTCACTGATGACGTCACCAGTGATGATGACGATTCGGATGTCGGTGACGTCATCTGTGACGTCACTGATGACGTCATCAGTGATGATGACGATGCGGATGTCGGTGACGACATCAGTGACGTCACTGATGACGTCATCAGGGACGATGACGATGCGAATGCCGGTGACGTCATCAGTGGGGGTCACGTGACCTCGGCGGGGGGAGTCACGTGACCTCGGGGGGTCACGTGACCCCAAGGGGGGCTCCCGC